TCCCCTCTGGCAGGTGAAAGCCATTCCCCTTGGCCTGTCCCTCCATCCCTTGTCCAAAGCCCGTCTCCAGCTTTCCTGCAGCCCCTTCAGGCACTGGAGCTGCTCTCAGGTCTCCCCTTCAGGAGCCTTCTCTTGTCCAGGCTGACCCGACCCAGCCCAGCTCTCTCAGCCTGGCTCCAGAGCAGAGCTGCTCCAGCCCTCACAGCAGCTCCGTGGCCTCCTCTGGGCTCCCCCGAGCTCCCCGTCCCTCTCTCTCCGCGCTCAGTTTCTCTCCCGGCGGCGCGAAGACCCCGGAAGTCCCCGCCCGCCTCCTGCCCGTCCTTGCCCGCTGCCGGGCGGGACGCGGCACCGCCGGAAGTGGCCTGTGCGCAGGCGGGCGGCGGGAGCCATGGCGCTGTACAGCGCGGCCGCCGCCGTCCTGGAGGGGCTGGAGCGCGGCGCCGGCGGCGTCAAGGCGCTGGTGTACCACAGCCGGTTCCCGGTGCGCGGGGCGAGGGGCGGGGGGCGAGGGGCGGGCCCGGGCCGTGACCCCTGACCCCTGACCGCCCCGCAGCACGTCCGGCAGCTGTACGCGCTGGTGTCCGAGACGCTCCGCTACTCGCCGGTGCTGGAGGAGCTGCTGGCCGGCGCCGCGCTGCTGCAGGCCGAGAAGAAGTTGTCCCCGCAGCTGGCGAAGGTGAGCGGGGCCGGGGGTGGCGGCGGCGGCGGCGGCGGCGGGTCCCGGGGCGGCGGGTCCCGGCTCAGCCTCGTCCCCGCAGGTGCTGGTGTACGACCTGCTCTTCGGCAAGGGCTTGAAGTGCGGGGGCCGCTGGAAGGCGCTGGCCCGGCGGCACCGGGCCCGGCTGGAGGCCGAGCTGGCCCGCCTGAAGGTGCGGCGGAAGGTGAGCCGCAACGAGGACCTCCTGGCCCCGGCGCAGGCAGCCGGCCCCGGCGGTGAGTGTGCCTCTGGGCGCGGTGGTGTCCCTGTGGTGGCGGCGGTGGGTGGCCGTGTGCGACCCGGGCGACTCCCCCAGCTTCCCAGATACCGCGCTACGTCCGGGTCAACACCCTGAAGACACGCGTGGACGACGTGGTTGACTTCTTCAAGCGTGAGGGCTACTCCTACCTGGGCAAGGCAGCCAGGTAAGCGTTGCTTCCTGCTGCCCCACCTTATCTGGGGCGTCAGCGAGCAACAGGGGCTTGGGATGAGGTCCTGTGGGTCAAGGGGTCGTCGGTCTCGGTGCTCAGGGTGCCTGGGTTGGGGTGTCCCCACTCCTGCGTTCTGCCCTTCCGTGCGCTGCCTGGCACTGAAGGAGAGAGGAGACGTGGGACAAAGAGGGTGTCAGCCTGGGCTCTGCAGAGCTCTGGTGCGGGCAGGATGAGGCAGGCCTGCGTGTTCATCATCCCTGTGCCTCGTGGGCAGTGTGGAAGAACTGAGGGCCCTCTCCGGGAAGAAATTCCTGTTGGACCTTCACCTCCCGGAGCTGCTGGTTTTCCCTCCGCAGACAGACTTCCATGAGAACCTGCTGTATACTTCAGGACACATCATTCTGCAGGACAAGGTGGGGAGCTGGTGGCAGGAGGCTGCAGGGCTGGGGAATCCCCTGACATGGGTGGAGGGAAAACTTCTTTCCCCATGCCAAGGGCTATGCTCATGCTTTACTGCAGCAGAGAGCACGAATGCAGCCAGCAGCTCTGGGGCTGCCCTGTGGCTCTGCTTCCATCACATGTACGGATGGGGGTATTGCTGTGAACCGGGCTGTAACCCCCAGGAGGAGCCGGCACCAGCTCTGGGAGCAGTGGGAGGTTGCGGCCAGGCAGAGGCTCCTGGCAGTGGGTGCTGGTGGACTTGTCCCCTGCTGCTGTGGCTGCCTGTGGCCCTGCAGCATCAGCCATGGCTGAGGAGGGGCAGGGGCTGCTTCTTGCCCGCTCTGCTCACAGGGCTTTGTCCTCCTGCAGGCCAGCTGCCTCCCCGCCTTCCTTCTCAGCCCCGCTGCTGGCTCCCACGTCATCGATGCCTGCGCTGCGCCTGGGAACAAGACCAGCCACCTGGCAGCCATCCTGAAGAACAAGGGGTGAGGGCAGGGCTGTGTGGTGCTGGCTTTTCCCTGGGTAGGCTGGTGGCTTGGGAAGGGTGCAGGAGGATGTGGGATCACACAGGGGTTCACTTTGCAGCCCCTGCTCCCTCTCCCTGCCCAAGACCTGTCCCGGCTGGGGGAGCAGCTCCCAAGCACAGCCTGCCTGGCCGATGGCCGGTGTGTGATGCTGTGAGGGCAGCGTGTTCCTGAGGCCGTGCGGGATGTTTACACATCTCTTGGGCGCCGGGCTCTGCCTTCAGCCGGATCTTTGCCTTTGACGTGGACACCAAGCGCCTGGCCACCATGAACACCATGCTGATGCGTGCTGGCGTCACCGGTTTCCAGCTGGCGCAGCAGGACTTCCTGACGGTGGATCCCGGAGACCCCAAGTACAGCAAGGTGGCCTACATCCTGCTCGACCCGTCCTGCAGCGGCTCAGGTAACACGGGGGGCTTTGGCCGCCCACCCCTGGGTGGGCTGTGGGCGTGCAGGCCCCAGGTGATGGCTGCTCTCCCCGCAGGGATGGTGAACCGGGTGCCGATGGCAGAGGCTGCCCCAAGTGCCGAGCGGCTGCAGGCGCTGGCCGGCTTCCAGCGCAAGGTGCTGAGCCATGCCCTGAGTTTCCCAGCTCTGCAGCGCTTGGTCTACTCCACCTGCTCGCTGCACCAAGAGGAGAACGAGGACGTGGTTGGGGCTGTGCTGCAAGAGTGGGGCTCGGCCTTCAGGTGTGTCTGGTGTTGGGGGGATGCAGAGCAGGTGCTGTGGGGCCTGGCCCTGACCCTCGTCCCACACTGCAGGCTGGTGGACGCCTTCCCTTGCTGGCCCTGCCGAGGACTCGCTGCCTTCCCGGGGGCAGAGAGCTGCCTCCGTGCCTCTGCTGCCGACACCCTCACCCACGGCTTCTTTGTGGCTGTCCTGGAGCGGCGCGGGGACGGGGCCGCTGCCTCGAGGTGAGAGCGGGCCTGGGGGCTCTGTGGCCTCCAGCAGCTCCTGGGGGTCTGGGGACAGGCTCGGGCTGGTGGCACACATAGGCTGAGGGTGCTGCTGCGTTCCTGGCATGGGGAGGAAGAGGGAAGATGGAGGGGTCTGACTGCAGCATGAGGAGAGGGCAGGAGCCACAGTGCTGTGTTGAGTGGGTCTCAGGCCCTTTGCTCTTGTCCACAGCTCCCTGCCTGCGGCTGCTGATGACAGCCCGCAGCATGGCAAGGGAACAGAGCCAGGAGCAGCTCCCAGGAAGAGGAAGAGGAAAAAGCAGCGGGTAAAGGAGGGAAACGACCCTTTTTAGGACTGTGCAGTGCCCAGCTGGGGCTGGTGGGGATTGTCACCTTGCTGCCTGCCTGAGCTGTGGCACAGCCTCCCATCATTGGTAAAGTCAGCTGGGTTAAGGGTGTCTTTTACCATATTTTGTCCCAGAAACACTTACCCTGATGTGGGCTATCGTAGAAGCTTGTGACTGACTGTAGGGATGACCCAGAGCTGAGTTTCTCTCTCTCCCTGGTCTTTTGAAGTACGTTTGTGCAGCCTTGCCTGGGAACTGCCACTGCTGGAAGCAGAGGCAAAGTGGAATAAAACAAGCGAAATAAAAATAAATAGTAATAATAGTGCAAACAAATATTGTTCAACCCCTCAGGTATAGTTCAACAGTGGGAGCAAGTACCAGTAAGTGTAATGCTGGGAAGCAGCCCTGAGCCCTGCCCTGAGCGTCCCGGCTCTGCTTCGCTTGGTCTCCTTCAGCTGCGCCCTGCACTGGAAGAACGAGGACATGGTGGGCACCGTGCTGCAGGAGCAGGGTTCAGCCTTCAGGTGTGTCTGGCACGGGGGGGATGCTGGGCAGCATCCCAGCTGCCAGGGCTGCGCTGGCACCCGTGGCCCCTCAGGCACCTTGGTGGTCCCTGCCTGTGCCCTGTCCTGACAGTGTGCTGGTGCCTGGCAACATGCCCCCTTCCCCACAGCAACCGGCTGTCCCCTCACCTTGATAGTCTCTACCACCTGCAATTGGTGGTAGAACTCCTTCAGGCATTGTGAGAAGCCCCTGTCTCTGCCAGCTTCACACAGGGTGAAGGTGCTCTGCAGGAATTTCATCTTGGCATCCTGCTGGGCAGCCTCCTTGACACCCTGGGTATGAACAATTGTATTGCTCATCACTTTTGTTTTCTGTCCCCCTCCCCTTCCTCTGGGCTCCTCTCGGATCTCCCTGAGCCATTCCTCATGGATGCCAATGACCGCCCCACTGTGGTGGGGACAGTGTGCCCAGCTGGGGTCCAGACCCACTGCTCCTCAGTCCCTCAGCGCCGGGGAGTGGCGGTCCTCTCGCACAGGCCTCCTGCTGCCTCACCACCCCAGGGCTTCCTCCCATTCTGCTGCTGCCAATGCCCACATTCCACCCTAGCTTTTCCTTGGTTCCCTTCCATGTGGAGGGATGGAGTTTTGGGTGGCTGAGAAAGGGCAGGTTGGCGTGTCGGTGGGGCCTATCTGGTGCTCACCATGTGTAGGTGATGCCCAGCAAGAGCTTTTTGTCCTGGCACAGTTGTGGGAGGAGGCATAGGGTGTTTTAATTTTGGCTCTTCTATGCAGGCTATCCATGATGTAGTTCCTAGAAGTTCAGCTCACCCCCCTGGCTGTGGTAAGCACATGAGAACAGGACAGGGGCAGGAGATGGATGGGTGACAGTAAAGCACAGTGGCATTGCAGAAGAACGTGCCTGTTGGGCTCTTGGTTCTGGGAAGCTCCATTCCACGTGGTCACTGGCACATCATGCTCCTTCTGGAGCTTCCTTTCAAAACCACAGCTTGTGCTACGTTTTGGCAATAGAATCCCCACACCTGCAGTCACACAAAGCCCACCAAGCGCATCCGATGGAATGAAAAACGTCTCCTCTATTAACAGGAGGCAAAAGTGCACAACGGGTGCTCTGGGGCATCCCCAGGTCTCGGGGAGCAACCGCTACTTCCTCTTGCTTTTCTTCTTGCTTTCGATCAAGTCCAGCCCTTGCTTCTTGATGGCTTCTCTGGTGAGGACAAGGCCACTGTGGTTGTCAGGGATATCAAAATCGTCTGGAGGAGAGAGCGGAGAGGAGCGGGCTGGGGAGGGTCTGTGGGGCTGCCTCTGCTGTGCCTGTGTCCCCAGGAGGAGCCGGCAGCTCCCATAGGAGGAGGCCACTGGCAGAGCCAAGCCCTGGCTGTGAAGAAGATTCACAGCCAAGTGGTTCTGAAGACGAGGCTCTCCCCGCTTGCACCACAGCATCCCCCCTTGCTCCTGTGGTGCTTCTACGCTCCCCAAGCCACCATCTGCCTCCAGTCTCCCACATGCACACAGAAAACCAGCACTATGCTCAAAGGCCTGGAGCCAAGCGCGGTCAGCCCCAACGCCTGCAGCAACTCCTGGGTTGGGCTCTGCTGGGACAGTGGGAGATGGGCAAGGACAGCCAGAAATGCCAGGAGGCAGGGGCTGGCTGGGGCAGTTGCCGTGGGATGTGTCCCCTTTCCTACCTTGGAGCCCCACGCCCGTGTCCTCCAAGGAAACCTTCCGGTTCCGTGGATCGGCCATGAGGGTTTCCTCCAGCAGCTGCCTGACCTTCACAAAAGTCTGTGAAAGAGAGGCTGTGTTCATAGCTGAAGGGGAGGCGGGTGTTACAAGCAAAGGGGTGCCCAAGCTCCATGTGCCCCTGGTAGGGAACACCCCACAGAGCCCGGGGCCACCTGGGCCTGAGCTGCTCCGTGGCTCTTCCCTCGAGCACCTCCATCCTCCAGCTGGGAGGATGGCTTGGCACGGGCCACCCGGGAAAGCCTGTGCGGGTCCCCAAAGAGCGCAGCAGGGATGGAGCCGCCGTGCACCTCATCATCCTCGCTGTGGCTGGAGGGGGGCAGGTCAGCCACCCGCTGCACCAGGTACTGCAGCTTCTGCTCACACTGCCGGAGCTTCTCGTCCACTGCCATGGCCTTGACAGGATGCTCCTGGAGTCAGAGAGGGAACAGCCTTGGTGGGGAGAACGAGCCCCTTGGGGTGATGGTCGCTGCACCAAGTGTCACCACACGGTGCCGTTGCAGCACCAAGCAGAGCCTGGGCTCTGCTCAGCCCAGCGTTGGGCGGGTACCTGGCCAGGCACGGTGATGCCCCGCAGCCGGACGAAGAGGTTGTCAAGTGCGTTTTCAAAGTCCAGCAGCGTCTCCTGGCTCCTCAGCAGCTGGGCTCGCCCCTGTTCCAGCCGAGCCTCTTCCCGCTGCAGCCTCGTCCTCAGCTCCTCCACCAGCCCCCTGGAGCCAACCACGGTCACATCCATACAACGGCACAGGGGTGCAGACACCCCAAAGCTGTTGCAAAAGCTGCTGCCCAGCTTCTCCCCTGCCCCCAAGCGCAGAGCAGAGATGCTGCCTGCAACTCAACCCCACGCTGCTGCTGCTCCCACTTCCCATGCCAGGCAAGGAGCAAGGCTCCTCCTGCTGCCAGCGCAGGAGCTTTGCGTGCTCTGCCAGCACCAGAGCTGGGGCAGCACTCTGCTCAGAAAGCCTCCCAGTGCGGGAGGGGTGGGCAGCCGCAGGGTGACAAAGGAAGGGCTGCCCTCTTGGGACACCTGCCATGCACGTGTCCCCCTGCCCCTAAGGGTGCCGGCCCCTTTGGCATGAGTGTCCGGAGGCCAGCAGCACCTGCTTGTGTCTGGGGGCCGGCGAAACTTCAGCTCATCGCGCTGCATCTCCAGCTCCTTCACTGCCTTCTCCAGCTCCTGCTTCTTCTCCTTGCACCTTGTGAGGTACTGCTCCATTTCCAGCAGGGACTTCTGCTGTGCCTGGAGCCTGATGGGGATGTCCTGGCCGGGGAAGAGCACAGGGACTCAGCCCAGGGCACTCCTGCAGGGTACAGGATCTGGGCCGTGCTCCTGGGGAGGTTTCTGCACCAGGAACCACAGGAAGCACTGCAAGTTCATGGCGTGGAGCAAAGCAGTTCCAGCCCTGCCTGTACAAGAGGGGCCCTGGGGGGCTCTGGGGACAGAGGAGAGCAGATAACCCTGCCATGGAACAAGGTGAGCAGACAAGGCTCAGCTCCCTGGGGCTGGAGCAGCCCCAGCTTCTACCAGAGATGGCTTTTCACCTCACCCAGAGGCGGGAGCACTGCACCACATCCTTGGCCTCCTCTATCTTCTCCCTCACGTAGGCCTCCCGCTGCAGCTGGTACTTGGTGGCCTCCAGTTTGGCAGCTGCGGTGGAAAGGTTGTGGCAGGGAAGGATGCCTGCGGCTGCGCCTGCATCCCCCCCCTGCACCCTGACAGGCACTCACCCACCACTGGGTCCTCTGCGGGCAGGCTCAGGAAGTCCCTTCTGAGGTCATGCTTGGCTTGCTGCAAGGATGTTCATCGTCACCCCTGAGCTGCTGGCAGCCTGGGGGAGCTGGCCCTGCAGCCCCTCACCCATGGCAGGCTGGGCACTGATGCCCGCCCTATGCCGGCAACCCTGAATGTGCCGGGGCCCCCCAGCTCACCGTTTTCAGAGCCCTTTCTTTTGCTTCCTTGAGCCAGCCTCCGTCTCTGGGCTCTTTCTGAGCAGCCTGGGTGCGGAGCCTGAGCTCCCTCTCTGCAAGGACCTGGGTTTTCGTCCTGACCATGCGCTCCTGGAGCAGAGCAGAAGAGAAGTGGCTCCCAAAGCTCCAGCGGACCTCTGTGAGCTTCTAAGCCTGGCATGGCCAGCATCAAAAATGCCACCCCCTACCCCCTGTAAACAGCCTGGGAAGGAAAGTGAGCAAGGCCAGCTAGAGAATGGAGAACGCCACCTTCCCCGTGGCCAGGGCTTCAGGCAGCTGCCCCCAGCTCAGGGCAGCCCGGCCCAAGAGCCAGACACAGGAGGAGCTATGGAGGCATCTGGGTGCTGCGGGGAAGCCAAGCTCAGTCTTGCTTTTTCTTGAAGGAAGGAAGACTCAGCAGCACGGCCGTCTGGTGCCATGTGTGGGCTCTGGAGGGCAGGAAAGCACCCTGAGGTGCCCTGGACGATGGTCTCACCTCGGCTCCACGAGCAGCTCTGAGCCCACGCGAGGCCATGAGCTCCATGTCCTCCACCTCCCTATGCTGCAGCTCGGCCGTCTCACTCAGGAGGTCCAGGTGCAGAGGCAGGTGGGCCAGCTCCTGGGACACGGGGAGCCGGAGCCCACTGAGTCCCAGGGGTGCCCTGTGCTGGGACAGAAGGTGGAGGGGAGCAGGAGGACCTCCTGCAGGAGGGTGTCCCACCAGCACAGCCCCTTGGGCCCTTCAGTGCCTTTGCAGGGGGAGCGGGTGAGACAACGGCACGGTGAGGATGAGCTCACCTTCCTCAGGGCATCCCGCACCGCCACGTACAGGGCAGTCACCTTCTGCCCAGCGCGGACTTTTGTTTGCATCTTCTCTATGTTGCCCTCCAGGGTACGAACCACCTGGGGCAGAGAAGGTTGGAGACAAGGGGTGAGCCCATCTACTGAGACCAGTGCCCACCCAGGGGGGCAGGGTTGACTGAAACCCCCCACGGGTGCTGCCACCCCAGGGAGGGGCCCTGGCACCTGTGCCTGCTGCTGCTTTTCGGCCCTCTGGACATCCTGCAGCTGCTGCAGCCGCCTCTGCAGCCGCTCCTTGGCCCGGCTCCGCTGCTCCACCTGGTACAGCAGCATGTTGCATGTGTTCACCTGGCGATAGACTTCAGCCCGGAGCTTCTCCGTCTTGTTAGCTGGTGCAGCATTGTGTTTTGATTTTCAGCCTGGGAACAGTGCTGATAATACCGATGTTTTCAGTTGTTGACCAAGGACTTAGTGAGTCTCATGCTCTGCCAGGGAGGAGGAGAAACCAGGAGGAAGCAGAGACAGGACACCTGACCCAAGCTAGCCAAAGAGGTATTCCATACCACAGCGCGTCATGCCCGGGGGGGTAACTGGGAGTTACCCGGAAGGACACAGGGTCTTCTGTGTTGGACTCATTCTTCAGCAGGTGGCATCATAGTCTCTTCCCTTGTTATTTTCTCTTATCGTTGTTGTTGGTGGTAGCGATGGTGATTTGTGCTGTACTGTACTTGGTTGCTGGACTGTTCTTGTCTCAACCTGCGGGATTTGCATCCTTTCAATTCTCCTCCCCGACCCTCCAGGAGTGGGGAAGGGGAGAGCCCCTGGGGGGGGGGGGGGGGGGAGCAGGCCTCGATTGCTTCCAGACTGGCACCACTCACTTGGAGTGAGTGAACAAGCTGTCTGACTAGGTTTAAACCATGACAGTTCTCTTGGATGCCCAACATGGGGTACTTAAGGGTTGAGATAACGACAGATCTGTCCCTATTAATAGTCACTCATCACAATGCTGATTTATTGGCTCTCAAGGTTGTTCCTCTTGTTCTCACAGTTTCAGTATATTGTACCTTACTTTGAGCCGGTATTTGCTTTATTAGTGTTTTATCAAGTGTGGGGCTTGAGCTAAGGTTTTTGTCTCATTGTACTTTATTGTAATGACTTGTAATACAATAGAATCATTGACCATGAAACTGATCTGGCTTATGTTCCCAGGGTGGTCACCACCTTTATGCTTTGGGAGGTATATAATGAAAGTGCTTAGCAATTACACATCTTTTTTCTCCTTCTCGGGTGGTCAACCTGTGAAGGAGACATTCTTTTACCCTCCCCGTTCTCCCCCCAGACCTTTTACAGCATCATTTGAGAGTTTTGAAGTTTTTGAATGGCCTTTTAATGCCGTTGAAACTTGTTTGCTGATCGTGATTGGGATCACCATCAGTGTATTTTGCCCGTGACTGATTTCAAGAGTTAAGCAGAGTCAGGTTTGGGGCTTGTCTGGGGTCAAACAATGATATAGGAGGACTAAGAGGTTTTTCCTGAGGCTGGACAGCCATGAGTGGCAGGGTGTGTGCGATAGTATGGGCCAGTATCTAGGTCAGTGGGCCCCTCCAGTACTTGGGAATTTCACCACCAAACAACTGCAAAATCCAGAAGAATTAGTAAAACACTTAAATGAGGTGTGTGGTCATTCTGGCCATACCAGAGACGGACAAATCATGGCAATGTGCTGGGGCTTGGCCCATGCTTCTAGGGCCCTGTTCAACACTATCCAGCACCTTCAGAAGGAAAAAAAATGTTGGTGGATCTGAGGGCAAAGCAACAGTCAGCACAGCTACTCCAGCTCCAAGCACAGCAGCTACACCACCCCCAGGGACAAGTACAGTCGCTACTTAAACTTTGGCTGCAATGAACAGCACAGCTACCCCAGTGGCAAGTACAGCAGCTGCTCAAACTTGGACTGCAACAGACAGCACAGTTACCCCAGCTCCAAGCACAGCAGCTACACCACCCCCAGCAACAAGTACAGTTGCTACTCAAACCACAGTGATAATCACTGCAGCCAAACCAGAGGACCAATGCGTACCAGTATCAGTTGCCCCTGTATGCAAGAGAAAAAGCAAAAAAGAGGCAAGAAGGGTGAAGCAAGATGAAGAAACAATGTATTCACCACCTGGTCTAGCATCTGATCAGGAGTCATTATCACATGACGAAGAAGAAGAAGAAGAAGAGGTAACTTCTCAACCTCAGACCTCAACTGAGCTACGGAATATGCGAAAAGATTTTACCAGTCAACCAGGGGAGCACATCATCACCTGGTTGCTCCGATGCTGGGACAGTGGGGCCAATGGTCACGAACTAGAAGGTACAGAAGCAAAGCAGCTGGGATCACTTGCTAGAGTGAAGGGGGAATTGACAAAGCAATTGCAAGAGAGAAAAAGTCCCTCAGCGTTTGGAGGCGGCTCTCAGCAGCTGTGAAAGAAAGGTTTCCATACAAGGACGATGTTATGAGTCGTTCGGACAAGTGGACTACTATAGACAAAGGCATCCAGTCTCTGAGGGAATCAGCCATCGTAGAGATGATCTATCACATCAAGCCGAATAACAGGGATATACCCATAGATCCAGATGAAGTCGAATGTACACGACCCATGTGGCGAAAACTTACATGGAATGCACTGTCATCATATGCCCATTCATTGGCAACAGTAACCTGGAATGACATAGTACCACTAACAGTGGATGAAATGGTTCATAAACTCCGAGAGTTCGAAGACAACCTCACCCCTTCCATCATCTCAGCTGTGAAAAAACTGTCCCAGGATCTCGAACAATTGAGGGACGTTCTATCTGATTTATCCAGCTCCTCACGTGTACCAACACACGTCTCAGCTATTAACAAAAGGCGTCCTATTGTTCAAGAGAGGAGATACAGGAGGTATACGCCACGGGGTACCCTATGGTTTTACCTGCTGGATCACGGAGAAGACATGACAAAGTGGGATGTAAAACCTACTTCAGCTTTGGAGGAACGGGTGAGTGAACTGAAGAGGGGAGCAAGGGCCAAGACTGATCGTCCCATGAGAGCTACGGCTTCAGTCTCTGGTGAGCAGTTTCCCAGATGGAGTGGAAGAGCTGATTTTACTCCAGCTCCTGTGATAACGAAGAATAATCCCTTTCAACACGATTTAAGTGTCCAAAGCTGTGACGACCATTAGAGGGGCCCTGCCTCCAGCCAGGTGGAGGCAGGGGACAATCAGATTTACTGGACTGTGTGGATCAGATGGCCTGGCATATCAGTCCCACAGAAGTATAAGGCTCTTGTAGATATCAGTGCACAGTGTACCCTGATGCCATCAAGCTGTCAAGGGGTGGAACCCATCTATGTTTCTGGAGTCACAGGCGGATCCCAAGAGTTGACTGTACTGGAGGCACACACAAACAGTTCCTGCTGCAGAATTACAGCCCAACAAGAGCCTGTCAAGCTCACTGGCCAGAGGCCACTACTGCCTGCTCAAGAGGCCTTTGAAAACAGCTCACGAGTGCAGGCTCCCCCTTCAGCCTCCAAAAAGCACTGCTACGGCCAGAAATAACTCCTGCACTAGTAACAAACAGAATTCTTTCTTTCTGTACCTAGAATATATAAATAGACAATAATTTTTATTAATGTAGCTAAATATATTTTGTGAAGAAGCTATTTGCAGAATATTTTTTTATAAGTCAGAAAGTACTGTTCTATCCAGTGAAAGAAATCTTTCAGAAGGGTCCTTTAAAGCATTTAAATTTTCCAGCAGCCCATTAGGGAAGCCTAAGTCAGTTTTCACACTGCCAAGAGATCAGGTTTTAGACACTTTGCATCTCTTTTTCTCAAGAGAATGCAGGTCTCTCTTCTTGAGGTTCCTCTCCTCACATATAAAAGCTACCCCTCAGCGACCAATTCAATCTTCCACTCAACACTGACAACTTCCAAGTAAAAATGATTGGCAGCGTATCAGTCAAGCACTCGTCAATAGCTACCCTTAAAGTAAATCAAAGCTATAGTAACTCTGTATCACATCATAACTCAAATTCTCGTTAGTGCAACTCTGACACAAAATGTGCCTACAGGAAAATACAGCTGTAAACCAAGCAAGTGAAAAATGATTAAAAAAAAAACCCAAAACACTGCATGGAAAAATCCCAAAGGATTAGTGTCAGAGAACATTTGGCTGCAAGAAATTGGAATAAACAAGAAGGCCTAACAGAAAAGAGCAGCCAACACCAGTCAGTTCGTAAGATGGTTTTCATCATTCCAGCTTTTCATCTCCTTCCTCTACATCTTTCAGACTGAGCACTTCCAGTGTTCCTTTCCCTTTTGTCTCACTCCGGATCAGCTCATCAATTCCTCTGAAGCAGCCTGGGTCAATAAGGCACACCTGAAACATTTCCCATTTCATCAGTCAGCATTTGATTTTTTACAGCCTCTTTCCAAGGTCAAACATTAATTTTTATAAAATAAAATTGCTCAGTTACTCAGGAGGACTTTGCAGCGTTGATAAGTGATTTCCATTAAGGGATCTTACCACACAAGTTCTGCAGTTCTATCTATCCACACTGGACGCGGCTTTTGACAGTTGGGATTGATAAGATTCTGATCTGTTCTCAGAAAGATTTTGCTAAGACTAAATCTTGCTTTAACATGGACCTTTTTCTATAATGCTAATTAACCACTGTCAAAATACAGGCCTGACCCATCAAATAAAGATGAGTAACATTCTATTAATACAGAAAAACTCATCCTTGTTGTACAATCATCAGTGCTAAGGGATTACACCATACTTCTCAGCTGGAATCAGCAATCTCTATGGAATAAAGGCTACTTTCAAGCTGACATCACTAGGATTGTGTGAAACTAAAACCCACAAACTACACCTCTGCTTAACAACCTCTGGTATACTTACAGTTCATCTGAACAACTTCCATACACTAGTTCACCTTCTAGTAAAATGCACAGTTTGAAGTCAAATCAAGCAGGAAACCCAAGGACTGCTTATTACTTACCATTTCCAGCTGTTCATGGAAGTCTTCGCTCTCAATAACTTTAATCAATGGCTTCAGCTTCTCTTTTAGTTTCTTCCCCTCCTTTGCTGGAATAATAAATCGCAGCCTCATATGAGCACGTTCAATTTGCATCGTCTCCTTTAACTGTCTGATCACTTCCAGTGCCTGTAAAGACATTCAGAAAAAAGAGCATTTACACACCTTTAAAAAGCATCATAGAGAAGTTACATCTCAGGACAACACCTCTAAGCAGAAGCACATTTTGCCAGAGACAAACCTGCTGCTTTGTGCTCTTGTGGGGTTTGACAGAGTAGTGAATATCCTTCATGGCTCTCTCTATAAGGATCACTGTGTATGGCCTCTTTGTGTCTGGATTCACACATTTGTCAGCCACAATAGTCGCGATGTCTCTGAACATCTGCTCCAGCTGTGTGTGTCGTTCTTTGTCTGATACCTGCAGCTCTCCTTTTGATAAAATCTGAGCAGAAGTAAAGAAACCAGCTGATAAACATCACAGATTTGATTAGTGAGAATTCATGTACCTTGGTGTCCTGGTTTCACCTGTAATAGTTTTTTTTTTCCCCTTCCTAGTACCTGGTGCAGTGCTGTGTTTTGGCTTCAGTCTGAGAATAACTCTGCTAACACACTGATGGTTTAGCTGCTGCTCAGTAGCACTTATCCTGATGAAGGCTTTTTCAGTCTCTCATGCTCTGTCAGTGAGGAGGGGCACAAGAAGCCAGGAGGAGCAGAGACAGGACACCTGACTTAAACTATCCAAAGGGGTATTCCATCTCACAGCACGTCATGTCCAGTATAGAAACAGGGGGGTTGTACCCAGAAGGGACTGATCGCTGCTTAGATCAGGCTGGGTATTGGTCAGCAGGAGCTGAGCAATTGTATTGTGCAGCACTGTTGCTTATTGTTTTTCTTTCCCTTTTAGTTTATATTCTCTCCCCTTATTTCTCTTATTATAATTAGTAGTAATATACTGTACTTTAGTTATTAAATTGTTCTTATCTCAACCCATGGGGTTTACATTCTTTCAGTTCTCCTTCCCATCCTGCCTGGAGAGGGGAAGAGGAGTGTGAGTGAACAACTGCATGGTGCTGAGTTACCACCCAGGCTTAAACCATGACACTTGGGTAAATTTAACAATTGTTTGAATTTGGTTAGACATGAAGTGCAGAAAAGGAATACTCATACCAATAATGTAATTATTATGACAGACGACATTTGAAAGACTTCAGACAAAAACCCACCACAGAAACACTGAAATACCAAAAAGAGAAGCGCAGGTTGACTGGAATTCTCATCTCCCAGAACATGTCCACAGCTCATGTCCAACCAAGAAGAAAGGAGTAAGAAATTAAATCTGTTGTTAACACTCAATCAAACTGTCCAAAGTAAGCAAGTGCCCCCATCCTCTCCAAGCTTTTACAAAGCCCAGGGCGTGACACCTACCACCTTACAGATTTCTGTTTGGTCATCTGTCCCAAACGCTTGAATGAGATCTTCCTTCTTCGCCACCTGGCCTTTGGAAACGTTGACAAACACCGTGTGTGTCTGCAGGACCTCGTCAAGGTCTTTCTCCCTGGAGATGAGGCAAGGTTAGAAAACGCGTTAAGCCACAACCTGAGAGCGAGCGCACGAGTTGCCAGCGAGGAGGAACAAGTGCTGCTGCCCAGGGCTGAACCCGTGGAGCCCGGGAGCTCCCGTGACCCAACCGTCACTGCCAGAGAAGGGCAGAGGACCGCAGAGCCCCGGGGCGCTGGCGCTGCCCCTGCCCGGCTCCACACCGGGACCTCCACGGGTCTCCCCCGCAGCGGGCCCCACCCCCGCCGGCAGTGCCGGCCGTCACTCACGCTCCGCTGCGCCATCCCAGGACCTTGTTGCGGTAGCAGGCGATCTCGAAGCGCTTCCCGCCGCGCCGCGCCCGCACCACGGCCACGTTCGTGAGGCGGATCTGGTTCGTGGGGGTGAAGATAGACATGGCGGCTGCCGCGGCCGCCGTATGAGCAGGCGCACTCAGGACCCAGAAGCAACTACCTCCCCATTGGCCGAGGCAGCCCCACTCTGCCTTTCTATTGGCAGGAGCTTCTCCACGCTGTCTCCCCATTGGCGGCCCTAACTCCTTCCCCGCCTCCCCATCGCTCCCGCAAGGGAGCTTCCGTAGGGAGGAGGGGGCCGGACGGAAGCGGCGGCGCATGCGCTGAGTGCGGGTGGCTCCGGCGGCGCGGGGGGTGCGGGGGTAAGCGCAGGGCCGTGGGGCGGTTACGTGACAGTAGCGCAAATCCCATCAGTCGGTGTCATCCTTAAAATGAAGGTGTCCGAGCGACCACACACCGTAAAAACACTATTACAGCTAAAATTAAAGACAGTGTTCCCTGTATGAGCACGCCTGGGTGCTGCTGACGCTGGGGTGTCACGGGGTGGCAGTGGCACAGCCACCATGGGATGGGTATGCATTCATTTGGATGCCAGCATGGAGGATCAGCTCCTCGCTCTGGACCCCGGTGCACGTACAGGCTGATCCTGCAAAGCCATCCCAGCCTTGCAGGGTTAGGGGTGACACCTGAGGTGCTGCAGCATCTCCCTGCATCACCCCCATCGTCTCTCACCCAAGGTGCCCTCCCCACCACCACCATTCACATCTCCTGCTGCTGCAGTGTGTCATGCAGACAGTGGAGATCATCAAGAACATGGTGGACAATGAGGAGAAGGGTGTCAAGCTGCTCTGAGTATCGTGGACGTGCCAGGCTTTGGTGATGCCATCAACAACAGTGGGTTGATGTGGAGGCCCCCTGTGGAGGGTCTCCCCAGGGATGGGCACCACCACTGTGGTGCCCCAAAAGTCCTAAACCACATCCCGCTAATCTCAAGGGCAAAACAAAGTCCAGGAGAACTTCCCAACACAGCCCAGAGGCCCAGGTGATGGGATGGCTGTGCTTCCCTCCGCAATTCACTTCCAGCAGCATTTTGCCACCCACTCCTGGTCACATCCCGTTTGCCACCACTGAAGCACTAGCCCCATTTAGACCTTCCCAACTCACTGGCAGCGACCTGGACTGCTGGCTCATTACCTCCTCTTGTTCTCTTGATCACTTCCCAAAGTCTGGTTGTCCTCCTACTGCAAGGGCCTCTTCCTGCACTCCTTGATGGCACTGAGCACCGTCTCTTTGGCACAGGGGTCTGGGCTGCTTTTGTCCTGGAAATTCCATGTCCCTGTTCCATCAGTACCCCTGTTCCCCCTGGATCCCTGACAGCTGCTGTGCCTGTGCCACCCCTGTCCCTATCCCACCCTTGCCTCTGTGCCCTGCCAGGAGGCACCATGGCAGGGACGATGACATGGACCACACAGAACATGATTCCCCTGAGCACCTCCCTAGCCATGACTCCCATGGGCCACCCAGCAGCAGGACCCTTGTGCCATGGCCCTGCCGAGGGGACCCTGCAGCCCAGCTGAGGAGGGCAGGGCTGTCTGCATGGCCCCTCTGCAGCATTACCTCACCAGAGAGGGAGCAGGCTGGGGGGAGGCCAAAGCCACCCCTGCTCCTCAGGGCTGAGCAGGGACCACATCCTGGTCGCCCGCACAACACACAACAGAGGTGATGTGCGCGGTGGCCCTGAGCACAGAACTAGGAAGGGGACATCATCGCCCGGGTCACCTTGACAGCTTCTCCCCAGGCCATTTTTTCAGAGTTTTCTGAGCACACCCATCGGGTCAGAGCCCCAGGACCCCCATGGGGACACAGGTTCCTGCCACCCACTCCAGAGCCGCAGAGCTGGGCTGAAGGCTTTATTGAAAAATTGAAAACACACAACGTAGTAATTATTATACAATGAAAAAAAAAAGTAATTAATCAACCCAATGTGCAGAGCAGGGGCACCCCCACTGTCCCCAGCACCAGCCACTAGTGCTGGAGGCTGCAGGGGGGACACCCTCCCTCCACCAGCACTCAGCCGAGATACAAAAAGGGAGTTCGGCCAAGAGAATGGTGCCACCATCCCCGAGCCCCCACCACAACCCCCTCATCATCCCCAGCCCCAACCTGGCCTGGAGGCCTGAGGTAGTTGGGGGTACCCTGCACAGGCAAGACACCTCCCCAGAAAGAGGGGGGAGGGTGTTGGGGCTCCTCGTGTCCTGCAGGAATGGGGTGGTTGGTATTTTATCTGGAGGGAGCTGGATAGGGGCATGTCGAGGCAGAGGGGGGGCCGGGGGGAGCCCCGAGTGCCTCCTGGCAGGCAGGAGCATAGGGCAGGTGTGCTAGAGGTGGGGCTGGCTAGAGCACACGGGGGCACTGGGTCCCGGCATGGTGGACGGTTGCGCTATCCTGTGCGTAGGAGGTGACAGCCCTGAGGCTGTGGTGATGGCCTGGCTCAGCAGGGGGATACTAGCGGGTCCCACTGCTCAAGGGCCAGCCAAAGGCAGCACATGGTGACAGACCAGCCACCACTTTCTAAAGGGAGACTAAGGCCAAACGCTGCACCCCCAGCACTCCCAGGGGGCTGGTCTGGCTGTCTCACCCCCAGGAAGGGGCAGCTGCCTGAAGGCAGGGTGCAGGCAGCAGTGCTGCCAGGCTGGGAAGGACACCCTGGCCCTGCAAGGGACATGGGCAAGACCGTGGGGGGGGATGGGGTCATCGCTGCGCAGTCTGATGCCACTGTCCCTGCTGCAGCGAGATGAGCTGGGGGGCCCGAAGCTGGCAGAAGCCCCCTGCCCTCCGAGCCCCCTGCTCCAAGGCACAAAGGTTCCCTAGCTGGTGCCAGCCCCACAGCAACGCCAGCACTGATCCCCCTTGCACCAAAGCAGGTGGTGAGTACACAGAGGCAGCACCAGCCCGGAGGGAGTGGGCACAGGCAGCTGCGTGCTCTGGCTTGGGGTGCTCTGGTTTTGGGCACCCTGTCTGCCCCCCAAACCCTGTATGTTGCTGCCCTATAGCCATGCCCCATCCACAGGAGCTGGTGGCTTGTGCGGTGGCACTATGGTTGTCCAAGCCCCTGCCCAGCACCTTGCGTAAGGGTTTATTGCTGGCATTAACACAGTGATCTATTGGGGCAGGGCAGCCCAGCTCCGGGACAGGACAGGGGGACATGTTCTGCGGACCCAGATACTCTGCAGTAACCCTCCCACTGCCTGCCCTGTTCCCTGCTGCTGCCAGCACCTTGGTTACCCTGTCCCATGGGCATGCTCCCACCCACCCTGCATGAGCCAAAGGCATTCGGTGCCCCGCTGGAGGGGAGCACACCTAGCACCAAGCCAGCAGCACCCCAAGAGTGGCACCCCGGGGCCCTTAACAGGCCCCTTCACAGCGGGGGGATGCTTGCGCTGAGCCAGGGACTGGGTTAAGGCTGGAAAAGCAGCGAGAGGCAAAAGAAACCCGAGCGCTCTCGCTCAGCCCGAGCCGGTTCAGAGAGTTCCAAAAATCTGTGCAAAAACAAAATGAAAGGGTTAAAGCCCCCCCAGCGGTCCCCCAACCCCAAGCAGCTCTGATAAATACACATGCGGTTTGCGGCTGGTGGCGGGCTGGCCAGCCCTCGCTCCTGCCCCAGCAGCTCCCGGTGCTCTGGTGCTGGAGGCGGCTCCTGGCAGGGGGATGTGGAGGACATGTGCTTCGGGGTGGCTTTTGCACCGGTTTATTGTGGATCTTCCCAAAAGGCTGCACCGAGCTGCATCCTGGCTGCCCGCAGGGGTGTCCCCTGCAACTGCTTCTGCCACTGGGGCTAATCTGCTGCTGAAGGGGAACAAAGAGGGTAAGGGGGTGAAAAGGAACATGGTGCCCTGCAGCATCCTTCTGCATGAGCCCTCTGGGACTCCTCACTGGTTTGCAGGACAGCAGAGCCCAAGGGTGATGCAGGCTGGACCAGGTTCAAGGCCAGGTTGGACGGGGCTTGGAGCAAGCTGCTCTAGTGGAAGGTGTCCCTGCCTGTCGCACGGGGTTGGAACTGAATGAGCTTTAAGGCCCTCCCAACCTAAACCAGTCTAGGATTCTATGTGGGTCCTCCAGGTTCTTGCACAGTTCAGGGTCTCCATGGCTTTGCCCCCATGTGCCAACTACCCAGACACCAGTTGTGCCTGCTGGAGTGAAATCCCTGCCTGGACTGTGGGCAGAGCTTCCCCATCCTCCCCTGCTCCTTCCCAGAGCAGCTTCCTGGCTGGACCAGGCCTGGGATGCACTCACCGTCCTCCCAGCCCTCTGCCACTCCTGCCAGCTCGTAGTGCTTCTTGCGCAGCTCTCCCAACTTCTGCCGCTCCTTCTGCAGCTGGTTTTCCAGCTCCAGCACCCGCACCTGAAGGTTGTCACACTCGCCATGGCCACCCTGTGCCTTGGCACAGCAGCCGGTGCTCTGGCTGGCATGAAGCCATGCTGGGCGGGGCACCCCTTTCACACCCGGTATCTCCCCGTAATGAGCACAAAGACCACTGTGGTACACGCCACGAGTGTTCCAATGGCAAGTGGTCAGTCCTGGGGATGGGATTCACTGCAGGTGAAGTGGTCAGTCCTGGGGATGGGTGGACACTGCCTGCAGGCACCCTGGGAAAGGAACCTCCCCAGGGCTGCCCCATGGAACGCAGAGGTAGGTGCTGTGGGGCAGCCCAGTGGGCACACAAGGGCAGGGGGAGGCCACAGGCTGTTGTGCCACGATGGGGACAATACTGGGTAAGGCTCAAGGACCAACTGCATGTGACTCCTGGGCAAACCCATCTGTTGCCTTCATACCATGGAGTTTCCCTGCGAGTTGGGCCTAGGCATCTGGGCAGGGTGACACCCCCAACCCTCCAGCCCTTGCAGCCTTTCATTAGCCCGAGTGAGGCACCAGTGGTTACATTTCCCAAAACACGGAGGAACCTCTTACCTGTGAATCCATCTCCTGACGCTTGATCTGGGTGAGTGTCATGCTGGAGAAGTCCATGCTCTCTGTGGATAAAGACACCATCAGCCCCCCTCGAGTGCTCCTCCCCAGCTCAGAACCCCCAGCAGCTCCCATGCTGCTGTCAGGGTCTGCCACCATGGCATGTGCAGGCAGTGACCAAGGGACAGCCACACGCAGAGACCACCAGAACACAGCCAACTGAAGATGGCGAGCGCAAAGAGCCGAGGTTTCAGGGCAGGTCTATGCTCCTGCGGCCCCACGCTCACCTTTCTCCTCCACCTGTGACTTCCCGGCCTTGGTGGAGGCCACCACGCTGGCTGTGGCCTGGTTGACGCCCCGTGAGGCTTGCTGGAGCTTGCAAAGGTTGGCGCTGTCTTTGTCTGCCTTCACCTGCACGGGCAGTGAGAAGGGCTGTGCTTGCACACTGCCAGGGATGGGGCAGCCACAGTTCTCTGGGCACCCTGTGCCAGCGCCTCAGCACCCTCACAGGGAAGAGCTTCTGCCTAAGAGCTCATCTCAGTCTCCCCTCTGGCAGGTTAAAGCCATTCCCCCTCCCTTGACCCTGGGACATGCAGGCCCCCAGGACACAGTTGGTTTCTGGGCTCCAGAGTGCAGGCAACAGCAGGAGAGCTCCTTGACGTCCCTACCTTGGAGGCTGCCACGAGCTGGGCAGTGCTGGCTGCAATCTCTCGTGAGCAGACCATCAGCTCCTCAAAGGTGCCCTTGCCTTGCACCACCAGGTCAGCAGCATCGCTGCAGGAGGGCAGAGGGGCTGGAGCATCCTCCTGCTACCCCGTCCCCTCCCTGTAGGGACAGCAGGACCCTGCCACCCCTCCCCACTCTGGCAGCAGCAGCACTTACACCATGACAGTGGCACCCCAGCCCACAGCCTTGGAGGCGGAGATGAGACCCTCTGTCCAGCGGGAATTCTTGGCATAGAACTCCTTGGGGGATGCCGCACCCTATCATCAGGAAAGGCATGGTCACAGGTGGGGGACAGGGAGGTGGCAAGGCCTGGAACTCCTAAACCCCTGCTCATGGGGAATGGAGTAAGTAAGGGCTTCATTTAGGATGTGCATGGGAACTGGGAACCCTGAATCCAGGGAGTGATAGGGTCCCCTACATGGAAAGGGAGATCGGGGACCTCTGTGACAACCTGGGGACCATGGCCAGGGCAAGACCCTGGGCTGGGGCTGGAGCTCCTGGCAGCCAGTGTGGCCTAACCAGTGGATCAAGGCTGGGAGCAGCACACTCCAGCAAGAGATGGTGGCTCCAACTGGCCCTGTGCCTCACCCACATCCCTGCCCGCACTCCTGCCCACATCCCCAGCTCACCCGTCCACTCTCCACAATCTCTCTCTGGAGGTCCTTGGAGGCCAGGACCAGGACGCGGATGGCCTGCATGAGGCCCGTGCAGGAGCCCAGGATCCTGTGAGACAAACACCACTGAGCCCCACTTGTGGGGCAGGGAGACCCCTAAGCTATGGGGCAGCTGCTCTGCGTGTGGCACTGGGCCACATCCTGCTCACCTCTCATTCACTTCCAGTTTTACTCCAGTGTCACCAGCCCGTGCCTTGCTCAGCATCTCCTGGTAAAGGGGAGAGAGGTTGTGCAGAGCCCTCTGCCATCCTGGCCTCATGCTAGTAGTTCTGGCAGACACAGCACCCACGGGTGCCTCATGGCATGCGGCAACCCTTACCTCGATGCGGGCAGCTGCTGTTTCGATGGCTGCTGCTGTTGCTGCCATCTCCTTGTCCACCAAGTCACCCAGCTCCTCCTGCTTGACATCCAGCCCTCTGGGCCGCAGCTCCTGGGGATGGGAGAGGACAAAAAGGACCGTCCAAGGCCGGCATAGCCCCTCTGGCAGTGCCCGCCACAGCCTGACCCCATCCCACCAACCCTCCTGGGCACCCACCTCCCCGATGGCACTGATACGTCCCAGGCAGATCGTCAGCAGGCTGCAGTCAGCACCTTTCACCTTGCCCGGGTCCTGCAGGGCACTGAGGTAGCTCACGGCCTCGCTGCTGCACTGCTTGCACGCCTCCAGCAGACCTGCAAGGGCAGCACGACAGGCTGAGGGTACCGCAGGCAGTGACAGAGACAACCAGCCCCTGCCCCCCCCGCCTGCCCCAGCTCCTGCTCACCACAGCCCCTGACTGTCCCAGCCCCTGTCCCCCCTGCCTGGTCAGCAGCACTTACGGTCAGCGGGCTCCATGGGGGCCAGGTGGGAGGTCGCACTGCCCTGCAGGAGGGTGTCACTGACGAGGTGGGCAAACAGGGCCAGGGTGGGCAGCAGGGAGCCAATGGCTGCAGTGGGACAGGGGCACATGCCTCAGCCCCGGTGGGTGCTGCCCACCCAGCCCAAAAGTGCTGCAGCTGCCCCTTTCCCCCAGCCCAGCCCCTGCTGGCTCCCACCTGTGTGGTCAGAAACGTATTTGCTGTGGGCATCCTGCAGCCTCTCTAGGCACTCGGAGGCTGCCAGTGTCCTGGACAGGAGGCAATCTGCAGGCAGACAGCAGGCAGGACTCAAACGCAGGGATTGCTGCTGGCATGGCCCAGAGGACAGCAGAGAGTGGGGCTTGGCGTGGCAGCAGGTTGGGATAACGCCAGGTTTGGCGAGCCCCCAGGGAACTCACCTGCTGAGCCGGTGCAGGCCATGTGGGCAGGATCCTCCAGATGGCTGAGGGCATCCTGCACCATCCGCTTGGCCTCCTGCGCGGTGCCCTGCAGCAGGGCAAACTGCTCCTCAGCCACGTGCTGCTGCAGCGCCTGCTCCTTGCTCTCCTGCAGAACCACAGTGGGGGTCATGGACTGGAAATCCAGTTCGTGCTGGCTGGTAGTCACCCCCATGCCCTGCGCTGCCTCCAGCTCTGCTGGACCCCATAGTATGGCAGGGAGGGAGATGCTGGGATGCCCCTGGAGTACCTTGTCTCTCAGCTGGGCCTGCAATATCTCCAGCTCCATCTTGCTGCTCTCCTGCTCACGGCCAAGCCTGTCCCGCATCTGCTGCAGCTCAGCATGCAGGGCAGCCACCTCCTCCCCATGCCGCTCCGCTGCCCGGCTCAGGCTGTCCCTCTCCTGCTCCAGGCCAGCGATTCGGGTGCTCTGCTCCGCTCCCACCTGCGTTGGCACAAAGCAGTAGGGGCTGAGCCAAGGGTGAACCCTCCAGGCTGGGGACTTGGTCATGGTCCAGGCTTGGGTCACCCCAACTGTCCTTGCTTGGTGCATCGCAGCCCATGCAGGTTGCAGCTTTGTATCACCCACTCCCTGGCAGCACCCCTGCAGCACCGATGGCCTTGTCTGGGGCCAGCCAAGGCTCCTTGGAGAGCCCTTTCACTTTCATCAGTGAAACCACTGCTATGATGACTGTCAACATCCTGATGGAGGACTGGATGAAAGGTGGTGGCTGCGAGCTCCAGCTCTGCCCCATCCCTGTCCCACTGCATTCTCCTGCCATCTTCTGCCTTCTGTAAGGAGCACGGAAGCCCCTGCTGCCCTCCAGAGCTTCATGAGCATGAAACACCCTCTGGCACAGCAGTGAGCCTGCCAGTTTTGCAGTGGGCAGAGCTGCCTCCCCTGATCCTGCTCTGGCAGGGGTCTGTTTAACAATCCCTGCTGCTGGAGGCCGTTGCATAGCATGCTCTTGCTTCCAGGAATCTTTAACTCCCTGCATTTCTCAGCCCCAAAGCATTAAACTCACCTAGGTGCGAGGAAGGAGAAGACAGGGAGTTGGTTATCTCCCTGCTGGGAGTAGGCCAACCGTGGGTAACACCTCTGGGATGGGGACACCTCACGCAAGCAGTGACAGCAGGCAGACCATGCAGGGCCACCCTTGGACTCTCACCTGTGTGCTGGACTCCAGTGTGCCCTGGAGGACCTGCAGCTCCTGTCTGCTGGCTGCCAGCTCCCTCTTCAGAGTGTCCAGCACTTCTGCCTGCTCCTGAGACTGCCAGCAAGAGGAGAGGCTGGCACCAGAGCCCTGATGGGGAGCTCCCCCAGCCATTCCTGGCATGTCCCCTGCTCAGTTCCCACTCACCTTCCTCTGAGCCTGCTCGCTCACCCGCTGGAAGGAGTCCTCCAGCTCCTTCTTCTCCCGCTCCACATCTCCCTGGGCCTGCCTGGCTGCTGTCACCTGCTTGGTCACCTCTGCGTTCTGGTGAGGGCAGAGGAGCTCAGCAACCCCTGGTGTCACGGGGCACGGCTGAGAAAAGGGGACACCAGGGTGTGTCTGGGTAACCCACCTTCCGCAGGAGGTCAGCATGGTTCTGCACCAGCTCGCTATACTTCTCCTTCAGCTTGCTGTAGCGCTGTTCATTGGCCTGTGCCCGCCCTGCCCCACACACAGGGACACTGGGGTGAGCACCAGGAGGCCTGCCCTGTAGCTCACCTTGACCCCGAGCCGAGCACTGGCTCTCCCTCCTCACTTTCAATCTCCGTCAGGCTCCTCTGTGCCTTCTCCGTGTCCTCCCGCTGCTTCTTCAGCTCCTCCAGCTCCGTGCGCAGAAACTCGCTCTCATCCTGCGCCTGCTGCTTCAGGTGCTGCTGCTCGGCCAGCTCAGCTTCCAGCTCGCTGGCGCGACCGCGCAGCTGCATCATGCCCCGTGCGCTCTGCAGAATGGCAGCCGGCAGCTCCCAGAGCCTTTCCATGGCTGCCAGTGCTGCCCCACGCCCTGCCAGTACTGTCCGGCAGACACCCCATGGGTAGCACCCCACAGTGCCCCAAGTGCACTGGGGTGAAGCAAGGAGGATTCTGGGCAATGGGGGTGAGCCTGGCCCCTCCCAGCAGGGACACAGATCCTCTGGCACACCTAGGGACCCCCTGTAATGGCAGGGATGGCAGCACCAGCGATGCAGAAACAGGGACAGGGCAGGACAGACAGCAGTGGCAGGAGAAGAGGAATGGCTTTAACCTGCCAAAGGGGAGACTGAGATGAGCTCTTAGGCAGAAGCTCTTCCCTGTGAGGGTGCTGAGGCGCTGGCACAGGGTGCCCAGAGAAGCTGTGGCTGCCCCATCCCTGGCAGTGCTCAAGGCCAGGTTAGACACAGGGGCTTGGAGCAAGCTGCTCTAGTGGAAGGGGTCCCTGGAGGTGGCAGGGGTTAGAACTGGATGAGCTTTAAGGTCCCTTCCAACCTAAACCAGGCTCTGATTCTATGACAGTGTCACTCCTTGCCCATCTGGGGACACAGCCATTACCCCATCAGCCTCATTCCCAACATGAGCTGCTGGGTCTCATCTTGCCCCTGGACCTCCCACCTCTCTGCATCACAGGATGGTTGTTACCCACCTCAGCCTTGAAGCTCTCCAGCTCCTCCTTCAGGGCTGCGATCTCCCCATAAAGCTGCTCGATTAAGCGGTCCCTGGGAAGGAGGCACCAGGTACATGCTCCACCCACGCTGCCTGGGATGGAGGTGTCCCCTCGGCCACCATGGTGCCATGCTGGGAGCTCCTAATCCAATCCTGGCTGCCTCCACGGCATAAGACCAACTGCTTACTTGTCATCCTTGTTCATCCCATTCTGGCTGTTGAAGTTGAAGGGGTCACTGCCCAAAGAGCTGCCGAAGATGTCGTCAAACTTACTGTCAAACAGGCTCTGAAGGGAGAGCAACAGGGACCTGGAGTGAACCCAGCACTGCCCCGGAGCCCTCGTCCCCTCCATATCCCTGGCAGCACCACCAAGCCCAAGTGCCAGCAGGGCTGCTGCCTGCTGGTGCTGCTGTGACACTGGGGCTGGATCCTCCCCGCTGCTACCAGGGTACTGAACATGTCGAACATTTTGAACATGAATCATCTCTGATGTGTCCCCACTCCTGGGGTGGGGATGGGCCCCATAAACCATGTCACTGTACGCCTCTTCCCCTCCCAGAAATGCTCAGTGCCAGGGGACAGCTCTTGGTGGAGAGGGGAGTGAGGACCTAATGCAAGCATGCAGCACAGAGGGGCAATGCTAGGAAGCCAAACATCTCCAGCCAGCCATCACTGTATGGCACCAAACCACGAAGAGAAGCACTCCCAGATGACTAGAGCCTGGCTTAGACTGTGCAGCACCCACATGTGGCACCCAGTGCCAACAGGTCCCGCTGCAGCGATGCTCTGCAGTGCCCAAGGCCATCCCCACTGTCCCAGCTGTGACCATGGTGTGGTTCTGGAGAAACAACCCTGGTCTGGGAGCCAAAGGGCACCCGCCATCCCCTCTGCAGCCTGGGGTGCACGGGCAGTGCTGTGACAGCTCACCTGTGAGGCTGTGTCCATCTCCACCAGGTCCGTGATGGGCTCACTGTCAGGTGAGGATGCCTCAGCGGGGATGACCACCACAGGGCTGATGTGCTCTGACAGTGCGGAGGCACGCAGGAAGTTGGGGGGGTTCTGGGGAGAAAGGGGAGTGTAGCTGCTGCGGAGAGCACTGGCACTGCCGCAGGGCTTCAGGCAAGGCTGGTTGAAATCCTGCCCCAGTGCTGAGCTGGCTGTGCCCTGACCCATGAGAACAGCGGCAGCACCTGCAGGGATGGAGCCAGGACGCACAGGACAGATCCCGGCAAGGGCTGAAGGCCACTGTGAGAGGGGGTCCCAGCCCTCGGCTGGAGAGGCAGCTCCATCCCTCAGGATCCCACCCAGAGGGATGCAGGATGAGCCTCAGACCCCAGAAGCCACACATTGCCACTGGCCTCAGGAAACAAGGGAAGGCAGCAGCTGACACCCTTTGGGCACTGTCCCAGGGCCACCAGCCCCATTGCTGCTCCTGGCCATGGGGGCAGCAAGTGTGGGAAGTGCTGACCCTGAGGTCTCACCTCCGGCAGCTGTGGGATCTGAATGAGCCGCTTGAAGTACTGCAGGTTGCTGGAGCGGTAGAAAAGGTCCTTCAGCCTGCAAGGGGCAAGGAATGGTCAGGGATAGATCCTGCCCAACCCAGACACCCTACCCCAAATGTGGGCAGCTCCAGCGCCTCGCCTGGCTCCAGGAGGATGTTACTGGGCCGCCATGCTGTTCTGGAGTGTATGAGGTACTGTCACCTAACCCAGGACATGATGAGCAGAGAGAAGGACCTGAAACCGGAGCAACCTCATCTTGTGGAAGATATCCCTGCCCATGGCAGAGCGGCTGGACAGGATGATCTTCAAAGGTCCCTTCCAACCCTCACCACTCTCTGAGTCTATGAAACCATGAACCACAGCACAACGGCCGCACCGGGGCACACTGAGGTGCAGCCACCTCTCTGTGCTGTCCTCACCACGGCCAAAGCTGGAAGGGACAGCTCAGAAACACCCCCGTTGCCGAGGAACAGCCCCAGCGGGTTGGGGGCTTCCTGCCTGGAGGCCACACCTGCACCTTCCCCTTCAGCTCTGGCAGCAGCACAGGGCCCTCCGTCAGCATCTCCAGTTCTGGGGTGATGAGCACTGCCCGGCCCTGCCGTCACGGCTGCCCTCCCTTCCAGCCACCCCCCATCCTGGTGGTTATCTGATGATACCCACAGCTGATACTGCCCCAAGTGCTGTGCCCAGGGTGTCAGAGCCCACAGACCATCCTGCCATCTGCTAATAGCCATGCCCAGTGGTTTTGCCATGGACACTGGTTTGCAGTTTGTGACCTTGAATCGAGCATCACCCTGCAGCAGCTCATGGCCTCTCACAAACACAACACCCACCTCCACCAAACAGCAGCACCCACCCATCCCATGCTGCAACTGGGTGACCGCAACTTGGTTCCAGCTCTCCTCCCACAACCTTTAGCTGCAGTTTTAAAAATCTCTCTTATTGGCACCTTAATCTGGGACAGACGCAGGTGCCAAAAGCTTTTCCTTTTCTATGTCCCCGCAGGGATAGCTTTTCCCATGCAAAAACCACCTCTGCTCCACTCCACCCCATGGCATGCAGGCTCTTGGCAAGACTCTTCATGGACCGCTCCTCAGCTGTGCAACACCCCAAGGTTTCATCCTTTAGCCACCCCTTTTAATAAATTCCCTTGTGTTTGGGAAACTGTCAATTTTCCTTAAAATTCAACAGAACTGGGGGGAAAATCTCTTTTCCCTGTCCCATCCCTCAGTGTCATGACCAGGGCTTATGCAAACCCTTGCCCAGCAGCAGCATCTCAAACTGCCTTCATGTGCTGCTTGTGTTCTCCCACCCCATTGCTCCTACCAAAACATCCCTCTCATAATGGAGCCACAAGCAAAAGCCACTTTTCCATGCAGAAAGCTCCAGAGAAAGCCAACAGGTTGAAGCAGGCTGGATTTCATAGCTCCAAGCAAGACTGACTCCTGTGCCTCCTCCACCTCCATCACTCAGCTCCCGAGGCCCAGCGCAGGGGCTCTGGCATTCCTCCCCCATCCTCCTTCTGCCCCACGAACATCCCTGGAGCATGGCTAGCAGCAGGGACAGCCGGTGCCCCACATCTGTCCCACATCTGGGCACTTACTTTCTGAACTGCTCTAGGAACCGATCCCGGTGGCCCTGCAGTGTATCTGCTGGCAGACCTGGAAGAAGTAGCAAGCAGAAACATCGGTGGGTGTCTCCACGCTGGGAAGGAGTGCAGATCAAAGGAAAGCCCATCGGCACAGCCATGTGGGGATGGGTCTTTCCCAGTGACGACCACCCTCCTCCCGGGTCTGAATACTCTGTCACTGTGTCCTGCTGCAGAAGGGGATCATGTGCCCCACCAGACACTCCAGGCAGGGAAAGGCAGCAAGCTGGCATTCAGGCAGCTACCATCACAGTTCAAGGTCCCAAGGGATGCGGGTTTTGCAGCCAGTGCCTGGCCAAAGCCAGGGCAGCTCCTGGTGGACACTGTCCATGCAGCTGAGGGGTGCTCAGCAGGGGAGACTTCTGGGACACCTCCATCCCCCAGCACTTGCCCCTCCTGTTCCCTTGCCCATGTGACTCCCTTCACCCCCCAGAAGGCCTGGGATTGAGCAGGGTGGTGACCCCTGGTGTTCCACTCTGTGTCCTCCCCTGCCCGAGGCACTGGGACACTCACAGGAATGGAGCTTGAAGAGCAGCTTGACGGTGTAGTCATAGAGGTGGCTGCAGTCCAGGATGACCTGGATGAGCGGGGCCAGGCGGCACTGCCCCGCGGCCGTCACCGACACCGAGCGCGACATGTCCAGGGAACTGAACACTGCAGGGAAGGAGCATGGGATTAGGCCCTGACAGCACCCACAGCACGGGCTGGTGTCATGCTTTGCCAGCCATGTCCACTAATATCACCTGGAGAAAGAGACCCGGTGGCCCTTGCAGACCCAGCCTGCTGCCCACAGCTGTTTGCACGCTTGGTGGGAGGAGAAATTCCCACCCAGGACTCCAACACTGGGAACACTTCAGCCTGAACTGTGGGCTGGAGGTGCCCAGTCCTGAGCCCCAGCCAGCTCCCTGGGCAGAAGTCCTGACCCCCGAGGGCACGCAGCCCCTGTGCTCTGCCAGTCACTGCTGTCCCACTGCATTCTGCCATGTGTGCCGGCAGGGAGATGCTCCAAAACCAGTCGAGAGCAGCTGGTAACACCTCATGTCCTCAATCCTCTGTCCACATCACATCAAAATGCACGTTGTGCTGGCGCTGCAGGATCATAGACTCACAGACTGGTTTGTATTGGAAGGGACCTTGAAAGCTCATCCAGTTCCAACCCCTGCCACGGGCAGGGACACCTTCCCCTAGAGCAGCTTGCTCCAAGCCCCCGTGTCCAACTTGGCCTTGAACACTGCCAGGGATGGGGCAGCCACAGCTTCTCCGGGCACCCTGTGCCAGCGCCTCAGCACCCTCACAGGGAAGAGCTTCTGCCTAAGAGCTCATCTCAGTCTCCCCTCTGGTAGGTTAAAGCCATTCCTCTTGTCCTGTCCCTGCAGGCCCTTGTCCAAGCCCCTTTCCAGCTTTCTTGTTTGCCACCTTTAGATATTGGAAGAGTGCTATAGAAGGATGCGCCCCAGGGAACAGAAGTATTTCTGCCAGGGCCTCGGGCATGGGATGCTTGATGTATCCAGTGACCATCTTGATGGTCCAGCCTTATGGGCCTCCCATGAGTTGTGGGATGCTAGCAGGGTGGCTGGAGAGGATGGCAGCTTCTTCTCCCTCTACCCAGCAATTCCCCTCCAATGGGTGGAAAAGTGAGAGATCCCGGGAACACTCTGGGGACAGATGAGCCCCCCTGGAATCAGAACCCTCCCCCTGTACAGCCAAGAGGTGAAGGTGCTGCTCCAGTCCTACTGAAACACAGCTCTGTCCTACCAGCACCCCAAGCCTCGGGCATGCAGCAGTTAAAGGCTTGCCCCAGAATCACTTTAATTTACCTCAAGCTTGACCCTGCTCAAGCACGCAGAGGTGTGTGACAGCCCAAGGCTTGAGCCTGGGTGGTTTTACCCCTTGTTTGCTCACACAGAGGAAGGCAAGATGCCTCCGTGCCCACCCCAGGACCCCATGGCACTGCTGGAGACAGCAAGGCACGCAGGGACGTCAACTGAAATCCGTGTGAAGTGCCCAGAGCAGAAACAAGCTCCTCTCCCCAGAGCCTTGCCCCAAAGCAGCTCAGTCCCAGGGCAGTGCGAGAGCTCACCCGTCTGGAAGAGGTTCAGCTCACACTCCAGGTAGTCAAACATCTCCACTGTCAGCTGAAAACTAGGAAGAAAGGGATAAGGATGTTTGGAGAGTGTTCCCACGGCCACCCATGGCCCTCAGCGTGTGAAGGTTGACACCCCACAGGAACAAGCGGATGTGCTGGCATGGAAGCACCAGCCTTGAGCGGGGCTCCATGCACCTGGGGCAGGGCTGGGGGGAAGGTGCCAGGCCCTGCTCCTGGCTCAGTGCTGCTGGTGAGGTTGGGCAGTGCCATGGCCCTGCCTGCACACCCCCCCCCCACCTCCCACCCTGCCCTTGCCCCACACTCACAAGTTATTGACGTCGTTCTCCCCTGCCTCGTCGAGCTGCCGGTCGGACATCTGGAGATTGCCGGGGAAGCGGGGATTCTGCAGGAGAAACAGGAGTTGGGAACAGGTTTTGGAGGATCACACAGCTCTGAGAACACCAGTGTTGCTGATCCAGCCAGTGGCCTCAGTGAAAGAGATTTGGACAGCTCTTTGGATGCCCAGTGGGAGTGATGCAGGGGGGAAAGGGGCTGACACAAGGTCTGCAGAGCCTTGGGTGACTGCATCATCCCCAGCACCATCCATGGTGCCCATACTCTGCCCAGCAAGAAAATCCAATTCTCCCTGGGTTTAGAAACCTGTGGAGCAGGGAGGAGATGATGTAGTAGATGTAGATGTAGATGTAGTGTAGTGATAGGACAAGGGGAAACAGCTTTAAACTAACAGAGGGGAGATTTAGATGAGATATGATGAAAGGTACAGGTATACAGTGATTGTGATCCACTAGCATCACATAACATACAACACTGATGGTTGACAATCTTTTAATAAATGTTGCAATACTGGGTCAAACATTTGGCTTTAATTTAAACTTCAGGTCATAGAGTTATTTACTTATGAATGCATAGTCTAGATTCAGGACTTGTTGGCTTGCTCAAGGCAAAACCAAAGATGTTGATATGGGCAGGTGGTTTGTAATGTCATTTACTCTTGTACAAGAGATCTGCGTAAACATAATCCAAGAGTGCAACACAGGCTGGGATCTGCCTGGCTGTGGGACAGCTCTGTGGAAAGGGACCTGGGGGTGCTGGAGGACACAAGCTCAACAGGAGCACAAGTACGCAGTTGTGGCAAAACAAGCCAACAGAATGCTGGGGAACATCAACAAGGGCATCACCAGCAGAGATAGACATGTCATTGTCCCACTCAGTGCTTGTCAGGCCACACCTGGAATACAGCGTTCAGTTTTGGTCCCAGCTATACAAAAACAATGTGGACTGGCTGGACAGGGCCCAGGGAAGAGCCACAAGGATGATAAAAGGACTGGGAAGCCTGCCACATGAGAAAAGACTGACAGAACTGGGCTTGTTCAGCCTAGAGAAAAGATGGCTTACGAGAGACCTCATTACCATGTTCCAGTATTTAAAAGGTGGTTAAAAGAAGATGCAGACTCTCTTTACAAGGATTCACATGTTAAAAATGAGGGACAATGGGCACAAGTTACTGCCAGGGACATTGTGACTGGATATAAGGGCAAAATCTTTCACAATGAGAACAATCAGCCACTGGAATAATCTCCCCAGGGAAGCAGTGGATTGCTCCCAGAGGCCTGGAGCCCTGAGACTGCTTGGGCAGAGGGGCTTGTTCTGTGCTACCTTGTCCTGATCTCCTGATAAACCTAAGGTGAGATTTATGGTCTGAGATGAACTGGATGTGCACGAAGAAACCTCAGATCTGTGACGCTGTTGGAAGTTCTGCTGAGAACTCAGGCTGTGCACACTCAGCAGTGCTTAGGTCAAGTTAATCATTACTTCCTCATCGTTCTTAAATCTCCAAGCTGACTTGTTGCTTCCACTCTACTTTTCCTGCCTGTATAAAATACTTGTTTCAGAAAGCACCAGAGCACCTTACACTCACACCCTGGTCCCAAGCAAAGGCAGGTTTCTAAACACAGCTACTTCATTTGCAGATCATGGTGAATACCCACCCCATGCGTACACACCAGTTGGAGCAGGTGCACCAACATGGACCTCCCCTGGCCCAAATCCCCAGCTTCCCTCCCCACATCTGTGGTGATGCAGAAAACCCAGGCTATGGAATTTACACCTCGGTGCTGGCCCTGCCCTGCCAGGCTCCCTTGAGCCCCTGCAGATAGTGCCAAAGCAGTGCTGGCGACAGGCAGAAGCTGTTCCCGCAGCATGGCATGGTACAGCCTCCCCTAAGCCCTCTCCACTACAGAACCCCATGGCCTCTTCCACCTCTGCCCATCTAGGATACCTGGAAGGGGTCATGCACCCCAAACCTGGGGGTGGTCTCTTACTGCTTCTTGTAGCTCACCAATTCCCAGCCCAGTCTAGATGCGTTCCAAGGAGCCCTGGTCCACCAGGAAGCTTGCCATCCCAAAGTGCTGGCTCTTGGGCCAATTTTAATCCAGGCTAAGGATGGACACTGGCAGTCTGGGGCACGTTTCATGAAGGCAGAAGGATGGCCATGACAGAGAGGACCCATGGGGGAGACAGCACTAGGACAGCTCTGCAAGCCCCTGTCCTGCCCCAGAGCATTGCTGTCACTTTCGCCCCAGCACTCCAGTGCCCAGCCCTTGCTGTGGTCTTGGGTACAGGGATGGGATGCTCACCTTGGTGTGAAACTCCATCTTGGTTCTCAGCAGTTTGAGGTAGATGCTGCAGAGCTGCCCATAGCCCTCACTGAGGTGGCCCTGAGGACACCAAAAAGCTGTTGAGATGCAAGCCAGGCTGTGAAAAAACATTCTCCCCTTGCAGCATGAGTGACCTCTGCCTTATCTCCCTCAAAAACCCAGCCGAAGCCCATCCTCACTGGCATCTTGGCATGTGGGCTGCTGGCTGGCTTGCAGCAAACGTGTTGAAGGGATCTGGTCAGGACCTTCTTATCCCTTTATCTGCAGACTTCAGTGCTGCTTTTGATGGTCAAAGCAAGAGTTTTACTGGGGTTTGCCATAAAATAGGAAGAAGGCATTTGATTTTGGTGGAAGGGGATACTGAACGTAGCCGGCAAACCCACCCCACAGTAGCCATGGGTCAGCCACAGCTCAGCATCTGCTCTGCCCTTAAAGCCTGGCTCCTCCTGGGATACAGCACCCTCCACCTCACCATCCCCCAGCTTGGCTGGATGCCACATACTGCAGAGGGTCCCCCAGAGTGTCCTCACTCATTGTGGCTGGTGGGATTGGCCACTTACCCACATCCTGCTCATGTCACTCAGCTCATTCTTGTATCTCAGAGAGTCTTTCAGGACCTGGAGGAATGATAGTGACAATAAGCACACAACACAGGCAAAGCACTGGGACAGGGTGTGTGAGACGTGGAGCCAGCAGCTGGGGTCAGGAACGGGAGATCTTGATTTGTTCCCAACCCTGCAGCCTGCCCATGGTGTCACTGCCACAAGCATGAGGGTGCCTCAGCTTCCCCATCTGCGGACGGGCAGGAGGATCCCTGCTGATGGCTCCTGCCCTGATGTCAATGCCCTGCACCAAGCAGTTTGCTCTGGCACTGGAGGGCACTGGTTGGCACCGGGGTGTGTAGCACAGGGGGTTATGGGCAGAGTGAGTGGGGAGGGTCCCTGTACCAGTCCCCACCCAGGACTGACCCCCAGGAGGGCACCAACCCACCAGCATATCCCACCACCCCACACAGCCCTGCAGGGAGAGGATTTTGGCAGCTGCCGAGCCAAGCACTCACGTTCGAGTGGCCATCCCGGAGGAGCTTGTGGAAGACGTGGCAGAACTTCCAGCAGAGCACGGCATTCCCTGACAGCGGCAGCCGGTTCACTACCGACCAGAAGGTCTGTGCTCCCTTCTCGTGGTGCGTGCCCAAGATGCATGGTGGTGGCTGGTCAAGGAAAAACCCTTCTCCCCTTCAGTGGTGATGAAGAGTTGCCACTCCGAACCCAGCTGTACCCAGAGAGCTGAGGGGAGCCAGGCCACCACGGGGAGCTCATAAACTGCCAAGCCCAGGCACACGCTATCCCCAAGGGCAGCACTTGCTGTCCCCTCTCCTCCAGTCCTACACCACCGCTCCAGGGGTGCCATGGCATACTCGGGACTGGGGCTCTACCCCTGCAAAGCTTTCCCAACGGCCCTGCTGCGATGCTGGGAATCTGCTTTTTGAGGCAGCACACTCACAAGCACCACTGGGAATTAAACATCATCTTCCCATGCAGGCAACCTGCTGTGGGCATCCACCACTCCTCCCCTCCCATGGGATGTGAGCAGCACTGGAAGCACAAGGCTGGGCACCCACTAACAAACAAAGGCTGCAGCAGCAGGAGCAGGGACCCGCTGCCATACTCAAAAAACCCCAACCATCATCAAGAGCCCATTAGGGTCCTACCCTGGCACCCTCAGCACCCCAACACCTCCCCCATGTGCCACCTTGCTGCTGCCTCTTTTCTGGGCAGCCCCGGCCACGCTCCCACGCTTGCTTGTCTGACGGCCAACTTTGGGAAGGATATTTCTGGCATGTTTCTCCTTGACAGCCACTTCCTGCGCATTAATGGCCTTATTGATGCTGACAGTCTGCAGAAGAGAAGTGGTGGAGGAGGGGGAGGTGATAAGAGTTCAGGCTCCCCCTGGTCCCCCCTCACCCCAGCTCTGCCAGCACCTGCTGGTGGCTGGGTCCCATCCAGGTCCCCAGCCCCTGCTTGTGCCAGCTGGATCCTGCCCCTTGCCGGATGCCTTTCTGGGATGTACTTGGCATCCGCCAGGTTCAGCTGCTGTCAGGACTCATTTACTCAGCATAATAATGATGCAATTCAAGCAGGGACCACAAAGAACCCTCTCCTGCCCTTGGGCTGGTGGATGGACACAAGGAAGGCAAATCCCTCCCCTGCCTTTGGATCACAGACAGTAGCCAGTGGTTCCTACTCTGCTTTCAGGGGGAGCTGAGTGGAGAGGGAGTTTGAGGGAATCCAGCAGTGGGAAGGCGAGGCCACGACACGCTGCAGAGTGGAGCCGGACTGGAGCCCCAGCTGCAGAGTGAGCGGTGCAGGAGATGGACCTTCCCATCCCACTGCCAACAGGTACATCCAGACATGGCACAACCGGTGCCCACCGCCCAGACTGATCCTACCAGGAGCCAGCACAACCCTCCTGCAGGACAGGCAGCCTTCCCCCCCAGCACAACCCTGCCCAAGAGCTGCTCTTTTGCTCCCTTGCCAAGAAAGGCAAAAAACTTGCAACACAGTCTAGGTCAGGGTTTGCCGTGAAAGGTTGGACCAGATGATCCTTGAGGTCCCTTCCAATCTGCTATTCTAGGACTCCATGAGATGTTGGGGATTGCGTGAAGCCCACACTGTGGAGCCAGGGCAGAGCCAGCACTCCGTTTAGGTTCCGGAGAGGCAGCGGCAGCACTGGAAGCATTTGCCGGGCAGGATTTTTAACCACAGCTCGGGGAGCTGTGCTGGCAGTGGGGGGATGCTGCCGGTCACCCTAAGCGAGTGCAGCAATGCCAGCGTGAGGCCACCCACTCTCCACACTCCTCCGTCACCGGCAGCACCAAGCACTTGCCCAGCACCTGTTCTGTGAGGCTCCATCCACTGCTGAGGGGAGAAACCATCTGGCTCAGCACTGCCAGAAGTAGCCAGTTACTGATATAAACCAACTAAAGCAGTGGGATTATCCCAGTGCCTCTCCCACTTCACTCATTCTTGCATCCCAACTTGCTGTCCCTTCCGAGGGAGCCCTGCTCTGGTTTCATCCCAACTGACCCTGGTGACTGTGTCAAGTGGATCTGGGGGGGCACATGGGCACCAGCCACAGGCACCCCACGTACAGCGAGGCATGGTCCAAAACACTAGTGTTGAGCCAAGCCCTCCAGCCCAACCAAACCCCCCTGGAAGTCTCTCTGCCACTGAAGCATCCAGCAGACAGAGCAGGAACAATGGGCTGAAGGCTTGAGACAGCTTCTGATCTCACTTGCAGCTGCCAACTGCACCCCCTTCCAAGGCTGAGCACCCCCTTAAGTGAAACAAGGTGCCTGGGTCCTGACATCCCAGTATGAACCAGTCCTGCTGTGGGGACACTGGTGCTTGCTCCAGCTGCACTGGCTGCTCTCAGGGCTGGTCCCCACAGGCCTGTGGTGTTTGCTGCCCCATGCCTAAGGCACTGGCCTCTGCGTCCCTGGGAAAGCTGGAAACGCTCCCAGTTTAAATGCCCTTTCCTGCAGACTTTTATTAGGAAAGCAAGGACATCTTTATCCAGCCAGAGGGCCGAAGTGATGCCCTCAGAGCGGGGAGACATGGCAGGAGGGTGATGGAGACTGGCAGCCCCCGGCTCTGGACAGAGGCCTCCAGGACCCTCCATCCCCATCCCCAACCCCCTGCTGCATTTGAAAGGTCAAAAAGGAGAAAAGTTCGGGGCTGCCTTGAAAGAGCTGGGCTGGTTCAGCCTGGAGAAGAGAAGGCTCCTTAAGGGGAGACCTCAGAGCAGCTCCAGTGCCTAAAGGGGCTGCAGGAAACCTGGAGAGGGGCTTGGGACAAGGGATGTAGGGACAGGCCAAGGGGAATGGCTTTAACCTGGCAGAGGGGAGACTGAGATGAGCTCTTAGGCAGAAGCTCTTCCCTGGGAGGGTGCTGAGGCGCTGGCACAGGGTGCCCAGAGAAGCTGTGGCTGCCCCATCCCTGGCAGTGCTCAAGGCCAGGTTGGACACAGGGGCTTCAAGCAAGTGGAAGGGGTCCCTGCCGGTGGCAGGGGTTGGAGCTGGATGAGCTTTAAGGTCCCTTCAACCCAAACCATTCCCCGACTCCCTGGTAAGTTTCACAAACAAGCTAGCTGACACAACAGAGTAAGAAAAAGAAAGGCTTCTAGCTCTAGTACGTAAGATTCTATGATTCTATGACAGAAAGCTCAGACCTCTTTGCCACGGAGAGGGTCTCTGAGGCCAACCCACAGGTGCTGCTTCCCAACACCATCCCGCACCTACAGCTGATGGCTATTTTAATTTAATTACTAGCTCCGACAGCACAAGGGCTGTTTCTAACCTGCCAGGCCACAAGCATGTCCTTGGCTTTGCTGCTGGCCCAGCTCCGGTGTCTTGCTCATGGAGGGATGCCAGCTCCTGGTCCCCACACAGGCACCCAATGGGCTCATCACCGCTTCCCAGCACTGGGAGCATGGCAGGGGGTCACGGGGGTGTGGGGCAGCTGGGTCCTTCCGCCAGCCCCACACCCTCCCCACTGCTGCCGGGAAAGGAAACCCTGGCGTTTCCTCTTGTGCAATGCAGCTGAGGCAGCAGGGCCGGGAGGGAAGCGAGAGGAGAGGCCAGTGGGTCCGTTACTGCAGCAAGCACCAGGAACGTTGCACGCACTTGTGCCACTGCAAGCGTCGCTAGCATTGAGAACACCTCTGGAGCGGGGCAAGGAAAGGCTCAGGCCATCTGGGGAAGGGGCAGCCAGGCAATACAGACTGGGACTATCCTGCCCTGGAGCAGCAGGACCTGCCCGAGCACCTCTTCTTCCCTCTGAAGAACCCCCAGAAACCCATGCAAGGTCTTTTGCCCATGGCTTGAAGCACCATCACAGCCCTTTCCTGGGGGAACTGAGCACCCTTCCCACAGGTCTCCAGGACTCCCACTGGCAATGAGCATTGCAGACCATGTCCTGTGGGACCCCTGACACAGCCCAGCTCCTCTCCAGGGAGATGCCACACCACAGCAGAGCCATCAACAGCTCTGCACCGGGAGGACTGTGCCTCTTGTTGAGACCACCAATGCAGAGGTGACCACAGGTACCAGACAGGGACTGAGGAGTCCAAAACTGCAGGGAGGGACCTGGACAGAGTGACAGGGACTTTCTGAGCACTGAGAAACACTTCACTCTTTCACATGCACATCTCCACACCTTCATCCCCCTGAATCTCCCCAAATTACACTCTCAGCTTCCTCTGAATTGCACATCTCCTGCTGTTCTGAGAGCTCTCCTCAGGAGCCGCACAGCACCTTCCTGCTTCTCCTTTCATTTCCAAAAGGAAATGAGTGTTGATTAAAGAATCCAGAGCTATTGCAAATTATTTGGAGAAACTGAGTAAGTCGCAGTGTAAATCCTCTTAGTAACACTCCCTCATTTCTCCTTAATTCCTTTCTATAAATGGAGAGCTGGGATGGAGCATACCTCTGGAAAACCACCCGCAACCAAGCCCTGCAGATGCAGGGGCTCCAGGGGAAGTGAGCAGCAGCGAGACCTGACTGCAACCAGCCTGGGAAAAAGATCCATGAGCTGAATTAAAATGCAAATCCCAGCACAGCGACGCTGTGCCCTGGCCCTGGAGGGGGGCATAAGCTTTGAACATCCCTCACCAACAGCGGCTAAAAGCAAATCACAGCCCCACCGCCAACACCCATGCGTGGCCTTCGACAGCAGCCACATGGGGCCAGGTCTCACGTGGATGCGTTTCTGTATAGACTACGCTCAGCATAAACCAACCCTCCTGCTCAGTCTTAAATGCTTCCTTTGAGCAGGGAGTGAGAGGAGATGTTAAAAATACCCTCCCATGATTTAATCTGGGTTATCCGGCTGCACCCACTGCTGGATTCGTGAGTTCAGAAGGAAAGCATTCCTCTCCTGCTGGCCACATGCTGGAACCGCTCCAGGGATGAAGTGCCTTGACCAGGGCTGTGTGAGCACTTTCAGGTGCTGCTGCTCTTCTTGCCTCCTGATCCCACCAGATGAGGAATATTCCACAAATGACATGTCTTGTATTTCCTTTCGCTCGGGCCATTAGAACCACCATATTTCCCCAAAGTAACGCTGGTCTCCAGTGTTAGAGACCCCAAAACCTCACTGCATCCATTGGGTCTGCTCCCAGTGGAGATGGCTTGGGATGTACCTGTCTACAAGGAGATGCTGATGCCACCAGCTTGGATACCAGCAGGAGGAGGACCAAGGTGTACCAGAAACATCCCTGAATCCCAAGGGACACCAGCATGGGGGTTTTGGGGGCATTTGGAGACACCTTGCCCTATGGCACATGTGACACCCCAAACCAGTCTCTGGGAAGATAGCCATGGGCTCCACAAGCCATGTTGGGAAAAGATGGCATTGCCATGAGGGTCTTCTGGTAGAGACCTGGCCTGGCGTCACTGACCCCAGTTCTAAGTTGGGAAGATGATGACTTCACATCCATGTCATGCTTGCTCTATCCGCCATCAGCACTCTTGGGCACACGGCATAGCCCAGTGTTGGTGTTATGGAGGAGCTCTTCTAGCAGAGGAATTGCTTCCAATGGAGAAACCACTTGGGCCAGGCCAGGGTGAGGTGATGTGATGTTCAGAGGTCTTCACACACACAAGAGGATGACAGCCACTGTCTGGCTCCCACCAAGACTTTCACCTTGTGAGCTGTAGTAATGGTGGAAAGATGAAAATAAGCTGAAGGATACACATTTTGAATGTCTCTGAACAGACCACCCCACCAACTCCTCCTGAGGACAGCAGGTGACATTAAAGCAGAGGCTGGGATCCAGAGGGTGATGCACCCATGAGCTGCACATGCGAGGGCTTCCACCACTTCGCCTGGCCCTTC